TAAGATCCATATGGATAATGGAGAAAATTGTAGAACACAACTATATATGATGTTTCTTTATAAAGAAATCTGATTATTGTATGACACATCTTTCACAACTCCCAAACAACAACTTTATGACTTTGAACTCTTATGCTCTTTCTATTGACCCCAAACCAGAAACTGGCTAGAAATAGCAGATAGCTAGATATCTCAGATATCAGATTTGGCCTTGATGAAGTATGTGCCATTTGAGCAAATTGGAAGCCCTGAAAAAAATTCCAATTGTAAATCATTTTGTTTTATTAACTGAAAGACTTCTGAGCTAAATGTGTCTAACATCTGAAAATGTTAACATGCTCTCACTTTTCTAGGCTTATCATGAAGAACAAGTAACTTACCCATACCTACTATTGTCCTAGTTGGTGTTTTTAATTTAGTATTAACTATCATCTAGCAACTCATTAATAATATTATGATGAATCTCAAGGAGAAGTAAAAATCCTTTAATGTCAACCATGGCAGAAAATAATGCATTTGACTCTTTTTTTTCTCATTTTTTTGAAATTAATTTTTTATTTATATATGACAGTGGAATGCATTACAATTCTTATTACACATATAGAGCACAAATTTTTCATATCTCTGGTCACACCAATTCGTGTCTTCATACATGTACTTTGGATAATGATGTTCATCACATTACACCATCATTTCTAACCCCATGCCCCCCCCTTCCTCTCCCACCCCTCCGCCCTATCTAGAGTTTTGTCTATTCCTCCCATGCTCCCCCCTCCCTACCCCACTATGAATCAGCCTCGCTATATCAGAGAAAATATGAAAAAAAGTTCATCATCACTAGCAATTAGAGAAATGCAAATCAAAACTACTCTAAGATCTCATCTCATTCCAGTCAAAATGGCAGCTATTATGAATAAAAACAATAATAAGTGTTGGCAAGGATGTGGGGGAAAAGGTACACTCGTACAGTGCTGGTAGACTGCAAATTGGTTGAGTACCCTGAGTTCAATCCTCTGCAAATTGGTGCAGTATGGAGATTCTTTGGAAAATTGGGAAAGGAACTACCATTTGACCCAGCTATCCCTCTCCTAGTTCTATACTCAAAAGACTTAAGAACAGCATACTACAGGGACACAGCCACATCAATGTTTATAGCAGCTCAATTCACAATAGCTAAACTGTGGAACCAATCTAGATGCCCTTAAGTAGATGAATGGATTTTTTAAAAATGTGGCATATATACACACAATGGAATATTACTCAGCAATAAAAGAGAATAAAATCATGATACTTTCAGGTAAATGAATGGAGTTAGAGAAGATAATGCTAAGTGAAGTTAGCCAATCCCAAAAAACCATAGCCAAATGCATTTGGCTTTTATTGGTATTTGTATTAATGCAACTTGTTTATAATCTAATACAACTACATTGCTTTCAAGGTTTTTTGTTTTAAATAAATGGGATTTACTCCTTCATCCAGTGCCTACCATGGGCCAGATATTCTTTGATAACCTTTGATACATTTGTGGGAAAAAAAAAGATAAAAATTCTCAACCTTTATAAAGTTTGCACTCTGGTGGGGAGAGACAGAAAATAAAAATAAACCTAATAAATAAGTTACATGTATAAAAGATGTCAAAGAACCTTTCACTGTGAAATTAAGTTTAAATTTTATAATATAAGCAAGGCACAATGGCACAAGCCTGGAATCCCAGTGACTCAGGAGGCTGAGACAGAACAATCTCAAGTTCAAAGTCAGCTTCAGCAGCAGCAAGGTGCTAAGCAACTCAGTGAGACCCTGTCTCTAAGTAAAATACAAAATAGGGCTGGGAATGTGGCTCAGTGGTCAAATACTCCTGAGTTCAATCCCCGGTACCTCCCCCCAAAATTATATTACAAATAACCTAATGCTTTATGGACATGATGTCTGCCACTCAACACTGGACCTCCCTGCAAAATTCAAAGGTGCACTTCTTCTAACTAGTATAAAATGAGTTTCGTGGTATGAACCATGCTTCTGCCAGTAACTAAATTTCATTTCTCCTCTTTGAAATAAATATCCCTTGAGGCCCATATTTTCATTCAGAGACTTTAGCACCCTATCCTTCCATTCTCTGTACATCTCCCTTTCTCTGAATATCAGGCACATAGTCGCTTGGTTAAACACTACTCTAAGTGCTAGAAATACAGAACTAAGACATGGTCTTTACCAGAAAGAGCTGATTATCCAATAGACACAAAAGACACAGGAAGATGACAGCATGAGTGTGTAACTGAGGTCATGAGTGTGTAACTCTGGTCCTTGTGCCCAGAGGAGAGAATTCTATGGTCTCTAACTGGGGAAGATTGCTCTCAGAGAACGGGTAGACCTGTGAAGGCAGAGAAGATATAGTGATTCATAGGGGACACGAAGTACATAAGCCTGGGAGAGCAGGCAGGGAATACATAAGTCCAAGAAGCTAAATTTGGGGAAGCAGAGGCAGATTCTGCATACACGCGACTACGGGGAGCTACATCCCTCTTGAAGAGAATGGAAAGCAAACTAGAGGTGGCTTATGCACAGACATGAGCTGTGCCACTGGGCACATTGTGAAGCGTGACTGGCTCTCGAGGCACAGGTTAAGAAAATAAAAAGTATCTGAAGAAATCAGGGAGACCAAACAACAAAAGACAAAGCTAATAATCTCACCAGTCCCAAACTGTGCTCTCAGTCTCTGGGCAGATCTCGGTAGTTCCCCCACTAGACAAGCCACCAACAGCTGAACTTAACTATGTTCCCAAACCAAACAGGGAAGGTGTTTGACTCAGGCTATAGCTAAATAAACGAGAATTTTTTCCCCATGATGTTAAATACACACAAAGTGCATGTTCCAAAACTCATGTTTTATTTCTAGTGCCAATCACTATTTTTTGGCACTATAAAGTCAACAATAAAAAGACACTATGTCTTGATATCATCCTACATATTATACATAGCATGCTGTTGTGCAATCATCCATCTCCCTGCTAGTCTGGGAACTCCTCAAGGGCAGGAACTAGCTAATAGTAGGCATTCAGTTAAGGGTTGACAAACAAATAAATGAATTAAGCCACCAAATTTTTCTCCATAGTTCTAACTGAGTATAACAGGACCAATTGCTACTATTTTTCATTCTAAATGATGATAGCATGAAGGCTGCTCAACTGGCCTCTCACAAACACCAACTCTGCAACCCAAAATATAGGCACATAAAATCAAACTTCAGAATCAGATGAGGGCAATTTTAAATTTATTTTTATTTTTTATTTATTTGTTTGCTTGTTTATTAGTAGTAATGAGAACAGAATACAGGGCCTTATGTGTGCTCAGCACACACTACCATTGAGCTATTCTCTCAGTCTATTAAATTTAAATTTTTGAACAGTTTTTCACTTCAGACATTCACTGAATCAATGTGATCATGCGCGCGCGAGCGCGCRCACACACACACACACACACACACTCCAATTTAGAGTGAAACAAACGTTGTAGCTCAAAATATTATGAGGGAATAACACTTTTGCAAAACTTCAAGAAATTAGGTTAAGCCCTCATCTCCCTCATATGAACCATATAAAAGCAGTGTCCTGGCCAAGGCTGGAAAACAACAGACAAAAATGGAAGAGAAAAATTCTTTAAAAAGAAAAAAAATCACCATTATTGTCAAATTGCAAAGTATATGATCACCGACATCCAAGTTGAGTCCTTTGGGCAGGTAGCACTGGGCCTGGGCTACAAAGACAAAGGCAGACTTGAGAACAGCTGCACACAGGTTCTGCCTACTTCCTGATGGCTTTCCAGCACTTTGTCTCCAGTGCTGAGATTATGAATGCTATGCTTGGTGCAGAAAAGAATTGACCTCACTGATAAAGAATGATAATAAGATTGGTACAGAGAAATGCTAACACACAGCAATCCAGATTGACAGTGAGCAAAGGAGCTTCAAAAGATAGCCCCTCTTGTCCTAAGGCATGTGGTTGTATGGGTCTGGAGGACAGGAAAGGGGGGTGTTCTTGTCTTGGTGAGAAGATGAAGGAAGTGCAGAGACTAGTACAGCAAAGAACTACCCTTTCTGGAATCCATAGGGGTCTGGCCTTTTATCCCCAGGCCCAGGGCCAAGGCCAAGCCTGGGGCCAGGATTTTGTCATGGGCGCCTCCCTGCTGCCTAGCCTGGGCTGCTCCACATGAGCAGAGAGAGACAGGAGGCAGGCCCCTCTGACACCTACTAAACCAGGGCAGATGGAGAAGAGAGTGTGTGGGATGCCTTTACCTCCCCCTCAGGAGGCGCCCAGCAGGAGCCCACAAAGCCAACAGCTCAAAAATCAAATTTCCACACATCCTCCAACCCCAGAACATGCTAACCCCTTGGCAGAAGGAAACAGAGCATTAAGCAAGTGTAGCTCTGGTGTATGAAGGGAATTTCGGAAGTCCTAAAGAAGCCTTCTCACAGGAATCTGTACTTTTTAAAAACCACTACAGAGGTAGCCAAGTTGGGAAACGTTATTCATTCGTTGACCCAAAGGGGGCAAGGGTGTTGCTTAGAGGAGGACACAACCCATATCTGCAAGACGTCCCAAGCTGCAGACGCATACTTTATTAATAATCTTACATACACAAAATGTCCACAGGAAAGCCTAACAGGCTAATTTCTGACAGCTCCAGATAACAGCAGGAAAAACTGAAGTCAGTCGGACTCTCCAGCTTCCACATGCTACACAGGAGAAATGGGCCCTTCCCACCCAAGGGATGTGATACAAATAAATAAATGCAATTATCTGCAAAACTCCAAGTGCAAAAAACACTGCAAAGTCCTTCTCCCCAAGTGCAGTGACTTGTAGGAAACAGATAGGAAAATAAAAAGAACAGCTGGAAAACTTAATTACAGAAGAACAACGCAAAAGCTGACATTGTTTTGCAGAAATACCAATGGTCAAAGCATTTCTCTCTTACCTTAAGATATAGAAGCAGCCTTTCTCTCTTACCTTAAGATACAGAAGCAGCTCTTGGCTCCTGAAGATAAGCGGCAGAATCCAAATCTCTGTTTGCTGTCAATGTCAGTGAGCACAAATGTGAAGTTCTGGCCAACTTGGCTAACTGTGAGGCTGCAGCAATGACAGAACAAAGGAAGAGATGAACGTGCAGTAAGTTTCTTGATAAAGTATCTAATCACAACAAGTCAATGAACCTAGAACATTTCCTCTCTCACTGGAAAATTTTATAAATGAACTTAAAATTTACACATTTCAAGGGAATAGACTGTAAGCTAATTTTTTTTAAAAAAGAAAAAGACAGCAGTTTGGTCTAGTGACCACCCAAAATCAAAATCATCAGCACTCTTGTACCAGTAGCATTCAGGCCATCAATTCCAAAACATGAACTCTATCTACTTCATTTTACAGATGAACAAAGAGCTGGGAAAGTCACTGCCTAAGGTACCAGCTGATTCAGAGCAAGGCTTAAAATCCAGCTTTTTGCCCCTTACCAGCTGGTACCTTAGGCAGTGACTTTCTACTAGTCTACCAACTGTTAACAATGCTCACCTAACAACTCTAGTTCAGAAACTAACAGTGACTGCAGCAGCAGAATTTAAGTGACTTCTATATGCAGCCATAGTTAGATATTTAATATATACCATCTCATTTACTCTCACAACAACCTTGGAATTTCAGTGATATACCCATTTTATAGAAAAGGACACTAAAGGGCAGAACAGGTAGGGAACTGAATCAAGTTCAAACTTGAAAATGCCAGCTACTAAGAGGAGCTGGCATTAAAACTAAAAAGAAAAGAGGGCAGGGTTAGGTATTACTTTCCTAAATTCATGCCTCTTTTATAATTTCTGAATTTATGAGAAACTTATTTCATTTTTTATAGGACAGAAACACCAAAATTTTTTAATAAGAAGCACAAGAATTAAAACCAAGAATCAACAAATGGGATGGATTCAAACTAAAAAGTTTTTTCTCAGCAAGAGAAATAATATGTGAGGTGAATAAGGAGAACAAATTTTTACCCTGGGAAACAAGAGGATATACAATCAATCAACAAATAAACGAGGGTCTGGGGTTGTGGCTCAGGGGTAGAGCAATTGTCTACCATGCGTGAGGCTCTGGGTTCGATCCTCAGCACCACATAAAAATAAAATAAAGAGATTGTGTCCATCTATAACTAAAAAATACATATTTAAAAAAACCCAAATATACRAAAAAATGCTCATCGGTAGCAATCAGAGAAATGAAAATCAAAACTACTCTAAGATACCATCTCACTCCAGTAAGAATGGCAGCCATTATGAAGACAAACAACAACAAGCTGGCAAGGATGCCAGGAAAAAAGATACACTCATACATTGCTGGTTGGACTGCAAATTGGTGCAGCCAATTTGGAAAGCAGTATGGAGATTCCTTGAAAAGCTGGGAATGGAATCACCATTTGACCCAGCTATTCCTCTTCTCAGACTATACCCAAAGGACCTAAAAACAGCATACTTCAGGTACACAGCCACATCAATGTTTATAGCAGCACAATTCATAATAGCTAAACTCTGGAGCCAAACTAGATGCCCTTCAATGGATGAATGGATTAAAAAATGTGGCATTTATACATAATGGAATATTACTCAGCACTAAAAAAAAATAAGATCATGGCATTTGCAGGGAAATGGTTGGCATTAGAGCAGATTATGCTAAGGGAAGTTAGCCAATCCCAAAACACAAATACCAAATGTCTTCTCTGATATAAGGGGGGTGACTCAAAATGGGGTAGGGAGGAAGAGCATGGGAAGAAGATTACCTCTAGATAAGGAAGAGGGATGGGAGGGAAAGGGAGGGAGAAGGGGAATTGCATGGATGGTGGAAGGAGACCCTCATCATTGTACAAAATACATGTATGAAGATGTGAATTTGGTGTCAACATATCTTATATACAGAGATATGATAAACTGTGGTATAAAAGTGTATTAAGAATTGTAATGCAAATAATATAATAATAATAGAGCTCATGAAAAAAAATTAAAAAGAAACACCAAAATTTTAAGCATTGCAAAATGCTTTTTAAGAAATGGAAGCAATGTTTGAAGCAAAGACATTAAAGAAAAAAGCTAAAAAAATTCCTGCAAAGCAAAAAAGTAGCAAATAATACTTAGAAGCAATAGAAGATAAAAATTTTAAAGCATATTACTAATTAGATTAGTCTAGAAACTTTGTAAAAAGCTGCAAAGTGTTTTAAAATCCACTATTTAAAAATCAGTCTACCAGGTACCTTGCATTGGACTCCTTTTTTTTTTAATGTAAGCATTCCAAATTTTAATGCATAAATTTACAGTAACATAATATTCTAGAATTTGACATTGAAATTATTCAAAGGGACTCATCAACTCATATATATCACATTGTATTTTACAAAAAAACCCTCAAATTGGTAAAATATTCAAATTGATGCTATCACCTATAATTTACTTTACAAATTATTAGTGGCAATGAAAAACCATTGCTTCCCCATACCTCTTCCCAAGGCAGAATTATTATTGAGTCTCTGGATATTATATCAATTAAATTTTCAAATATGGGGTAGACTTTCTTTCCAAAATTTCCTTATGCAAGTTACATAAGAAAATTAAAGGGATTGTCAAAGTATCCCAGTACAAAGGTCAAGGACCCTGCCTAGTTATACTTAAGGAAACAATTGCATCCATTGGCGAGTGGTTAGAGTATGGGAAAATAATTCAGAAAGTGTTCCCCTGTCCTTATTTAATTAGGAAAGTGAACACAAACAAGGTGGCAATTTTAAAACAAGGTAGTAATAAAATTGGTGTAAGTAATCCCATCACTACACCTTATACAGCCAGGAGAAGGAACACATAAAAGTTATAGAGCTGTCAAGGGGACACCAAATGCTACCTTCTTATGGCTGTTATGTTTTATCTATAAAGCTTGGATACTGTGTTACTATGGTGATTTAATACTATGTTTTAAAGGGGGATTATATGATTAATTTTAACAAGGTTGAGAACTGAAGATGTGTGAGAAACAGGATTCTAGCTCACATAATTAAAGAGATTGGGGAGGAACATGGGCCTCAATGGAGGAGGGGAAAACCTGTTTTATTGAAATATTTAAAGCAACAGGTCTGAATGAGTCTGAGTCGCATAAAAGGTTGTGCTTTGCAAAATACTACTATGTAATCATACCAAATATGACTGTTCATTATTTTAATTCAGGGTTTGAATTCACTTGAAAAATGTTTAAAATAAATACTGAGAAGCATTCTAAAAGAGAAAGTTATTGACAGGACTTGATGAAAAGAAAACACGCAAGATCTCTAAGAAAAGGACACAGAATGAACACAACCTGACTTGTGAATTTGGTGTCATTAACTTCCTATTATCTTTTCACTACCATTAAAAATGCTGGAAAATGTGTTTAGCTACACTGTAGGCTCAAAGAAAAACTCATTACTCATTTATTTGGTTTAGAACCCAAGTCAATCACTGGTAACTGGGCCTTAATTTAATGAGTTATTTAAACCAGTAAGTGCCTCAGTTTCTTCACCTGGAATAAGCATGAGAAACTACCACCCAACCCAAAGAATGTTTTGGGAATCAGTGGAATTAGCATTTGCATAAAGATCAGTCCTTATTAAGAATAATTAATAAAAGGGAGGCAAAACTATTACCAACGAATCAAAACGTATGATACACATTAAAATCATACACTTGCATAGAATCTTCCTGACTCAGCTTTTCAATACTTAAAAATGGAAGTAGTAATTTGGCCTTATTTCTCTTATGTCGGTTGATTTTATCAGTAAGGGTAGTCCTCTGGGGACCAAGTAATTCAAATTTGCATTCAAATGAAATATTCTTGGGGGCAGGGGGCACAGCTTATAAGGAGACAACATATTCTCAATTGATTCACCTTTTTAATTCATAATAATGAGAAGTACAAGGTATCAAAAGTTCAAAGCCAGATGACTATAAAATATCTCTCCCTTGGACAGTTTCCAATAAAATTAAAATCTGTTGGGGCAGTCAGAGTTTAACTTTCAGGGTTCTGAATTTCCAAGGAACTCATCATTCATTCTTTCCACTTGTTGAGGTCATCTATAGGAGTGCTCACTATCATTCACAAAATCACTAGGGAAGGGATCTGTTTCCTTAAAGGTTGCAGTTTCCAGGTTTCTCTCCAGTGGGAACCCACAATTTCTATAAGAATCAGGGATTTCACAGTAATCAAAGCAGAAGGAACCCTAGGAAACCATATCATTCAAATCTCTCATTTTACAGATGGGAAAACTGAGGCTTAGGATTTGTTTTGGAAGTAATCAGGGCTAGGACAAAAATCCAAACCAACTTCTGGTTCAATGTCCTTTCCATCTGCCATGCTGTACTAAACACAATTAAATGCCTCCTTGAGACATTTCACCTGAGTTTAAGGAACTGAAGTATGTGAAGAACACAGTTGTCTTAGCAAATGGATTATACTTCTTGTTAAGCTACAGAAACCAAACTGGAATATCTCCAGAAATAAACCCAATAGATCAGGGTCAGGATCACCCTACTATACTTTCAGTTTAGTTATCCATTTTCAGACTGAGCTACAACTACACTTGGCACTGTAACAATAAAAGGGAGGCAAAACTATTACCAACGAATCAGTATATAACAGTTAACAATATAAACAGTCCATGCCTTCAGAGAACTTAGTATTTGGTTGGAGAGAAATAATAAACAAGTATACCAAAAATCATACAGTTTGTGATAGTATTATGAAATTCAAGGTGCATCAAAGAGGAAAACACAGAGGAGGAGAAGACTAAGAGAATGTGGTCTGTCAGAGCAGGTTTTAAGGGATGACAATAATGAACTAAATACAAAAGGGATGGAGCAGCCATTCAGAAAGCAAGGGCCTGAGTGCTTCAGATGAATAAAAGAGCTGTGCAAAGATTCTGGATGCTGGAAGGAGCCAGGCATGTTCCAGGAACTAAGATGGTACCAGTAGAGCTAATGCACAGAAAATTAAAGAAAAAAAAAAAAGCAGCATTATAAGAAGCTGATACATAGAGCAAACACCAGAGGATGCAGAGTGCCTCGTAGGTCATGGTA